GCTTCACCTCCTGCTGCTGCAGCCAGTCCACCTGCAAGGAGAGCCGGAGGTCAGCATCGCCCACGGGCACGGAGCCTGGCATCACCCACCATAACGGGCCGCGGGATGTGGTGCGAACCGCAGCCTGGACCCATCCCAGCATCACCCCACGCGCTGGCAAACCTCCCAGCTCCTTTGGCAGGGCTGCCGCGGAGATAGTGGCTTCATTTTAGGGGAAATAAAGGATGGATGGACGCAGCCGGGGCTCAGCTCTTCGTGCTCTCCGAGCCAGGGACCGGATTCCTCTCTCCGTGCGGCAAAACCCTTGAGCATAAACACCGTCGCCTCCAAGCGCGTGTCCAGACCCCCCCGGCTTAACGAAGCACTGAAGCACGCGCTGGAGACGAACCACATATTTAAGTGTTTAGTCAAAGTGCTGGAGAAGACTCAGGTGCTTGGCTGAATTTTGGGGCTGATCCTTCGCCCTGGCTGGGAGGCAGCAACCGCAGCTCAGCCCTGAGACTTTGCTACTCAGCTCCAGGGCTGCTCATCCTTGGAGCTCCTCTCCTCCCAATACAATAATAAAATCAGGAGCTTTACCCAAGCACAGCACATGTTTCCCAAAAATATAGGATGACCATGCTTTCACAGGGGATGTGGCCAGCTCTGGAGAGGTGTTTTTGGCATCAGCTGCAGACGAGATGGCCTTGGGGCCGACCGCTCTGACATTTGTTTGCTTTCTAGTAGGGCACGACACGCGAAGCGATCAAACGGGAAATGAGCCGGAAAAGGCCAGGATTGGGAAACAGCACTGTTTGCCTGCACTGCTGCGGCAGGAGCTGCCTAAGGTGCCGGTTTGGGAACAGCTACATCCCATCCCTGCTGAGAATTTCTCCCCAAACTCTTTATTGCCCTGAAAAAGGGGTTCTCCTGCCTTCCACAGGGAGATGAAACCCAAGTTTATTGAAAATAGGTTGAAAAAATAATTTATAGACCAAAGCTGTGGAGGGGGGAGACCCCAACAGCTCAGGGTCTTTTGGGAATGGCAGAGCTGCTCGTGGGGACGTCTCTATTCTTGTGACTAAGGTTTTGTAACAAAAAGAACAAAACCCCAAAATGCAAGTTTTCGTTGGGCTCATTTACGTGAAAACTGGCAGCTGAACCGAGTTCTTCTTGTGTGGTTTCCACCTCGGATGCCCAACGATGGAGGTGGATGGGGAGCTGTGACCCTCGCCAGCCTAGGGCTTGATTTTTAAATGTCTACGTTTTAAAGAGGAGAAAAAACATTGAATGGAAAAAAAATATAGATATTTCATAGAAAAATGAGTTTCTGTGCTGCCTTGGCTGACGACAACATTCTGCTTTGCTTATACGACGATGGATTTAAGCATTGGAAGCAAAAAAAATGCAACTTCATGGTCTAGCTAAAAAAACCTCTAAAATACATTAAATAGAGGATACGGCTCAATAATCCGGCTTTTCTCCCTAAAGCAGCACTCCTTGGCAGTGTTACCGTGGGTCTCGCTGCCCGAGCTGCAGCGATCACCTTTCCCTGCGGCTTGCTCGATGCGGGAAGCAAGGGAAGATGTGGGATTTTGCGGGGTTTTGCCAGGAGCTGCAGTGCCTCGCGGGGACGACTTCATCTTCACCACGCTCCCATCCTCACCATCGATCCCAGCGCTGGCAGCCCGGGGGCGATGGAGAAGTCTTGCGTGGACACAGAGGAATCAGCAGTTTAACGGCATCGATTTCATGGGAGGTTTGCTAAATGGATGCGGCTGGCCTGGGAAAACAACGGGTGAGCGGGAAGGAGCCCGGGGCATCCCTGCAACGGCTCTCGTGGCTTGTGAAACTCCAACTTCCGTCACTCGGCTGGGGTGGGGGGAAGCTTCTTGGAAATTTAACAAAAAAAACCCAAACAAATAGTCTTTTTGCTACTAGAAATGGCCAAAACTGTTACAACACAGTCCTGAGCCTGGCGGATCTCAGCTCCATCCCTGCAAATCCTAATTAGCAATAACGAGGTGACCCTGAGTGGCACCAAAGGACCCTGTGAGGAGGAACATGTATCACAGAGCCAAACCCTTCGCCTTGGCTGGAACCAGAGGGGCAGCTCCTCATTTTCCCCCTTTCTTGATATTTCCAGTGGGTGATGCCCAGATCCAGGCACCCAGGGCAGCTCCACCAACCATGATAACCAGCTCAGGTGAGGACACAACTCCCTTTGCAGCTCCAGAAATGCACTAGCTTGACTTATTCCATCAGGTGTGCAGGAATTAAAGCGGAGATCCAGGACAAACGGGACGGCTCCAGCACGGGTTTGCCATAAAGCATGGCAGAAATAATTTAGGGGGGTTGATTTTGCTACAGTGCATGGCCAAGAGGCACAGGGACTGAGACCATGACATCCTCTGGCGAGGATTAAGAGACCAGAGCGGTGAGGCTGAACAGGAGCATCTCAGCGAGCCGGGAAAGTTCCCAGCAACAAGAGCTGCAAGTCGAGCCCATACGAGGGGCAGCACAGCATGGCATGACCCTGCTCTGCGTCCCACTGCCCCTCCACACCTCTCACTCTTGCCACCATGACCTGCCCCCAAAATTGCTGGATTTGCTACATCTCTTCTCCCCTTTCATCGCCTTCCATGTCGCTTATCAGCCCAAACGGAGCAGCTGCTGGCCATGGGAGTCTCCTGGGGCAAGAGGGGGGCTCAGCAGCAGCATGGTCCCACGGGGAGCAGGACCCCGGGTGATGCCCAGCCATGGTACATACCACCAACCCCCGCGGCAGAGCGAACCCATAAATAACAGCACTGGAAACAATAGCCCCTGGAAGGCACGAACCACCCAACATCTGCAAATGATTGAATCTGCTGGTTCTTCCGGGATTTCTGCAAGATTTGTTTCTATCTTCACCATTCCAGCTCCCGTCTCCTCATGCCTCGAGGTGATGCGTTCCTGGTCCATCCAAATGCCCGAGATCTCCAAAACGATTTGCAAATGTGGAGATTTGCAGAGACAAGGCATGCCAAGGGGTTTTGAACTCCAAGTGATAAGGAAGGATTAAGAGAATGGGAGCTAATTGCTCTAGCTGGCAGTCCATAAGAGCGAGCAAAGGTAAATGTTAATAAGGCTAAAAGCCAATTGATTTGATTTGCATTATAACCAGACTCATTTCAATTGCAAGAGCTGAATTAATCGTTTGCTGGGATGCCTGTGCACCTCCCCGAGGGCCAACGGCTTTAATTACAGCCCAGCACACTTCCAGGGCACGGATGCTCCCCTGGATGCTCCCCTCCGTTCAGTTCCCCTCTGCTCAGCCTGGCTTGTGCCTCCTCATTCTCAGCAATATGCTACAAACCCTGTCCAAATATTTAACAGCAAACCTGGAGAGCTGGCTGGCTGGGGAAAGCAGGGTTTGCTGCGCGGTTCTGGAGAGATGCGGATGGGACGGGATATACTGAGTGGGTTGGAAAAGTCTTGGGAGTCAGGAGCATCATGAGGGTGGCCGTGCATGGGTGCAAGCATCAGCAGCTTGCCATAGCATAGGTACCTTCATGTGCTTTTTCTGCATTTATTTCACCCTTTCCCTGAAAAAACAGACTTGCCCCACACATTAACCCCTCCCTTGCTCTGCAGAAGTAGCATCTTGCAGGGCTTGGGTGCCGGATGGAGCCGAGGGAGGAGGAAAGTGGAGGCAGAGCCGCAGCCCTTCCCCCCCACCCCAGCCCAGCTCACCCAGGTCCTGCCCACCCCTCCTTGCCTTCTCCCCCCCACACCCCCATTACTTTTGTCAATTCAGCTGCACCGAAAATCCCTTCGGATGCTTGCTCTAGGAAAAAGCAATGCAGAGCTACTGCCAAGGATTTCACACATAGCAACCATTGAGGCAGCGAGTGTTGTGGCAACTGGATCAACACCCCGAGCATGCAACAGCCTTTTTGTCCTAGAAGGCTTTTTTTTGTTGTTTTCCCCCCACTTTTCTTCCTCCTGGTTTTCAGGCAGATGTTAGCATTTAGTCACTTCTAAGTACTTTTCATCACTGACCGAAGTACCCATGTCCAGTGAGTCATCCCGTGCACGAACAGGGCTGTGGCTCAAGGATAACACGGCATCGCGAGATGCTTGGGCTCACGCTTGACCCAGGCCAAGCCAACAGGCTCCTCCAGGGAAAAAGCGGGGACCCCCATCCCACTGGCCCTCACAGAGGCTGGGGGACCCCAGGCTGCCCAGCCCCATACCTTGGGGTCCATGCGGAGGAAGTTGTGTGGTCCCCGGCTGCTCAGCGTCGAGCGCTTAAATGTCTTGCTGTGGTGAAAGTGGTAGTAGTTTTCCAAGCTCCCGATCTGCAAAAAGAGAAGGGTTTGTTTTTTAAAAAAATGAGCTTTTCCCACTTTTGCCTCCTATTTTGGCGCTGGCAGCATCCCTTCATGCATTGGTGCAGCTGTTCATCGCACCCCAAACCCAAAAATCCCCGGGAAAGCCAAGGGTCAGGGAGGGGATGCTGGATGCTGGCGCTAACCCCGGTGCCACTGCTGCGGCAAACAGTGCTGGCGGCCCCGCGCTGCGCCGGCATAACAGAGCCCGGAAAACATTTTAATGAATTTTCACCCGTTAAATGCATCTTTGCAAAGTGCCTTCCATCAGCTCAAAAGCTGAAATAATGAGCTAAAAATGAGCTCAGTGGCTGCGGCGGGGCCAGGAGAGCTGAGCCTCATCCCACTGCCTTTCCCCACCCGATGCTCCAGCTTCTCCCCAGCAGCAAGAACGGCCCCGTAAGGAGAGGTGACCACGATCCCTGCTAATCCAGGGATGCTCCTGGGAAGCCCAGGCTGTAAACACCCTTAGCCTGGAGTCAGGGACAGCATCAAGAATCAAAAACCCACATCTCTCCAAGCAAACCAACCCTGCATCCCAAGGGATGTGCAAGCACATGGCCCAGCCTGGTGTCCCTCCCCAGCAATACATGCAGCCCAGGAGCAAAGGCGAGCTGGGAAAGGCAGCCCCAGTGGCTACCTTCAGCTTCAGCTCAGGGAAGCCTCACACTCCTCTTTTACAAGTTTTCGCCCTTTTTTTTTTTGTTGCACCGGGCAGGAATTC